GTCGAAAGACTCCCGTCGTCATCGGCACACAAACACGCGCTCTCGACGTCGACATTGCTCGAAAGTCGAATCAACAAAGATTCGAAGCGAAGAAGTTTCTCGAGCGATCTCGACTACCGCACGAATTAACGCTCTAATTCCGAACAGTCAAAAAGTATCGTCTTTACTTCGTAAAACATTAAGTATAATTAATAAATTTCAAAAATTTGCTCAAAGAACACAAATGTGGGCTCATTCTATGGTGTATGTTGCCAGCCTATCCCCATACGTGAGGGATAGACTAGCAAAAGCTTCACAAATTATTTTTAATTCAATATGACAATAGCGAATTTTTGAAATTTACCGATTGTGAAATCAATGTTTTACGAAATAAAGGTACACCATTTTGGCATATTAAATTAAAAATAATTTATAAGACTTTTGCAATTGGTAGTATGTGTACAAGTGATCAAAATTATTCAAACAATAATACAGTTGCTGTTTTATAATGTCTTAATTTTTTACATGATTATTCGATGAAATTTATGCGGGTGTTCGAACTTCCATGAGCGATAGTGTGCATGCAGAAAAATATCATTCGAGTGTTAAGAGAGGACGCAATTTTTATTCTTCTTTAGAGTAACGATTATAAAGATTTTATAAAGAATCTTTATAAAGAATTTTTTTGATAATATAATTTTAAAATACACCTACTATTTACTGGAAACGAATAATATTTATGTAACATTTTTCTGTATGTACATGTGCATGCTTTAGAACGAACTAAACTTTCAAAGAGTTTTCAAAGAGTTCTCGATCATTTCCCAATTTTCGCGATAATCGAGATATTATTTCTAAAGCGCCGAATATCCGAATATCGAAAGCGAGGCGCGCGGGGAGTGGGAACTGCCACTAAACGTCGTGATTGGAACGGCACGCCTAGCAGGCCATCCCCATTCCCAGCGGCCCGCGCGCCATGCGATCGGTGGGGACGATAGGTTATATATTCGGCAGAAGTAGGCCGGCCGGACGCGCTTATTCGACTATCTTTAAACGTTAACATCTCGTTAACTATTGTGCAACCTACAAAATGGTATAAGAATTTTCGAATTCAATCCGTTCTACCTGCTCGTGATCGATTACCCGGTAATTTTCAAACACCCTGTATAATAGCTATTGAAGAAGCAATTATTGAATATAATCGGCTAAAACAACTACATAAACCAAAAGCTCAAAGTGTTACTATTTCAAAAGAGTTATCGTAAAATTAAAGATGTGCTAGGGAAATTATCGAAAATAATAACTTCCGTTCAATAGTCACATCAAAAAGTTCGATGAAGTAGTACTTCTTGGGTTATACGTGGTTTTCAAAATACTGACAAAGTTTCATGCTATGCCAATGCTACATTACAATGTTTATTTCATTTAAATATTATTAGAAAGCAATTATTTAATTCTGATAAACTAAATAATTTAAATATATTAGCGCATCAATATGAAAACGGAATACTTAATTTGAATACAATAATAAAAGCAATAATTAATTTGAATACACAGTACGAAAATATGTAGCGGAGTATTTTTCGACTGTTATTAAAGGAGATGCATTTGATTTTGTTGTAGAGCTCTTTGTACTATATGATTTTATAGAAAATTTGGTTGAGCATCAAATTATTTCTACTTATCGATTCATAATATGTCGTGATACAAAAATTACTACTAATAATAATTTTATTTTCTCAATTTCTGTTAACAATTCGAACAAGAAAAGTTTTAATCTTAATCAATACTAGAAATTTAAAATGCCTATTACGGTCGAACATATATAGTATATATTAGTAATTCAAGATTGAATTATTTAAAAGCAACGAAGATCCAGCTTCGACCGTAATAGGCATTTTAAATTTCTAGTATTGATTGTGTTTCTCATATATACGGTATAAAATAAAGATATTGTTTAGATTACGTCGCCTGAAAGAAAGACGATGTTTCCTTAGTATACCGATTATTGCGAAGAATATTACTAAGGCCTTGGTGGTCTAATGGCTTAGGACGCTCGTACGG